AAATAAGGCGTAGCCCCAGTAGAAGTTCTGATGGTGGTACGATATCCCAGCAATGCAAATGGTAGCTTTTCATGTTAGTGTCTATGATTGTCGATCATCTTGGGCAATATCCTCTTGATGTTCTTGTTTGAAGCCTCAACGACTCCATTCATCTGTGGTCTTTATTTTGTAGAATTTCGGTGATTGATCTTGAACTTCTCAGACAATGATTTCATTAGATCACTATTTAGGTTGGTTCCATTATCAGTGATGATTGACTCAGGAATCCCGAATCTACAGATAATATTATTTTTGACAAAATCATCCACAACCTTCTTTGTCACTGATTTGTGAGAGGTGGCTTCGACCCATTTGGTGAAGTAGTCGATTGCAACCAGAATGAATCTATGTCCATTGGTTGCCGCTGGCTCGATTGGACCAATGACGTCCATGACCCAAGCTGCAAAGGGCTAAGGTGAACTAGTGACATAGAGTTCGTTGGGAGAAACTCTGATCATATCTGCATGAGTCTGACATTGGTGACATTTTTGAACATAGCGGATACAGTCTGTCTCCATAGTTAGCCAGAAATATCCCGATCTCAAGATCTTCTTCGCCAAGGTAAAATCGTTCGTGTGAGGACCACATGTTCCTGCATGTATCTCTTCAATCAACCTGTTGGCTTCTCCAGCTTCGACGCACCTTAACAACCCCAAATCAGGAGTCCTCCTATAAAGGGTTTCTCCACTTAGAAAGAATTGATTCGCTAACCTCCGAATTGTACGCTTTTGTACACTTGTTGCATCCTCTGTATACTCACCGCTCTTCAGATATCTTCGAATGTCATCATACCAAGGCTTTCCATCAGGCTCTTCCTCAACATGAAAATAGTATGTAGCTGCTCGTATATGTGGATGTAAATAGGATCAATGTAATTATGATCAGGATGTTGAATCATGGAAGACAAAATGGCTAAGGCATCTGCGAATTCATTCTGGATCTTTGGCACATGTTTGAATTCTGCCTTGATGAACCTTTTGCACAACCTGTGCACACACTCCAAGTATGGTAACAACTTCCGATTCTTGGTAGCCCATTTCACCTCGAACCTGATGAATCAATAGGTCTGAATCTCCTATTATCAGCATTTCCTAGACATCCAAGTCGATAGCGCGTCGGAGCCCTAATATGTAGGCTTCATGTTCAGCCATATTGTTTGAGCAAAGGAACCTGAGTTTGGCTGATATCGGATAATGTTGCCCAGTTGGTGAGATCAAAACTGCTCTTATGCCGAATCCGCTCAAATTCTTGGCTCCATCAAAGAACATCCTCCAACCTTCATATTCTTCAGAAATGTCTTCCCCTACGAAAGCTACTTCTTCGTCTGGGAAGTAAGTCTTCAACGGTCTATAATCATCATCTACAGGGTTCTCTGCCATATGATCTGCTAATGCATTGCCTTTACTGCCTTTTTTGTAACATACACTATGTGAAACTCGCTCAGTAATATATGCCATTTAGCTAGTTTACCTGTAGGCATGGGCTTTTGAAAGATATACTTTAGAGGATCCATCCTTGAGATCAAGTAAGTAGTGTACGAGGAGAGGTAGTGTCGCAGCTTCTGGGAGACCCAAGTTAAAGCACAACAAGTACGCTCCAATAAAGAATATTGAGCCTCATATGATGTAAACTTCTTGCTTATGTAATATATTGCCTGCTCCTTCTTTCCAGTCTCATCATGTTGCCCCAAAATGCAGCTGAAAGCATTATCCAACACCGATATGTATAATAACAATAGTCTTCCAGATTCCGGTGGAACCAACACAGAAGGATTGGACAAGTTTTCTTTGATTTTGTCAAATGCTTGTTGACATTCGTCTGTCCATTTCACCGCGGCATCCTTCTTCAACAGCTTGAAGATAGGCTCACAAATGACAGTAGACTGGGCTATGAAACGACTGATGTAGTTTAGTCGTCCCAGGAAACTCATTACCTCTTTATTACTCCTCGGTGGAGGTAGATCACGAATGACTTTGATTTTTGATGGATCTAGTTCTATACCCCGGCGGCTGACAATGAAACCCAGAACCTTTCCAGCAGGAACCCCAAAGACACACTTTGCAGGATTCAACTTCAAATTATACCTGCGTAATCTGGCAAAGAATTTCCGTAGATCATTTAGATGATTTGAACCCTTCTTTGATTTGATGATGACGTCATCCACATAAACTTCGATTTCCTTGTGGATCATGTCGTGAAAAAGAGTAGTCATTGCCCTCATGTATGTAGCACCAGCATTAGAACAATGTCGCTCCCCTATTTTTCTCAAAACGGGTTTTGGTGCACGACCTAACAACTCTTTTGGGCTTTTGAGGATTGAAGAGTCGCCACCTAACGAATTAAGACGCGTTAGGACACCTGTCTAACCTAAACTAATTCTAGCTAAGGTCAACGAACCAGAGAGCAGGGTAAGGGTTCAAATTACCTCGAGGGGAAGGTCTTAGGCATCCCTCGAGGTCCACAAATGTAGGTCCCGACCGTATCTCATGCAATTTATGTGAGGGTTACAGGTAGCAAATAAGGTCACTTCATTTATTGGTTATTTAATTAATTAAGCATGCAAAGCTAGGTGATAACATAATATTAAACAATTAAGGAGCACTTTAGTTTTAATTAATTAATTAGTTAAACATGCAAGACTAAGTGATAACATAATAACAAATAGATATTAAACAATTAATAAAGAGATAAGCGAGGAGACAGAAATTGCACAAGTAGATAAGCAAATATTTAATTTTTTTTTAAAATACCCCAAATAATTAATAAACATATAAAAAGGGAAAGGGAAGGGAGACTCTAAAGAACTTTAGGATCAGCACTCGACTTTTCTTTATTTTTTCGATAGGCTTCTGTGTAAGGACAGACGAAACCAATGTTTGTCTTTTAAGCCTGAGTCGGTGTCATCATCTCCGTAGGTCCTAAACTACCCCTACCCCACCTCCGCATGTTTTCGTCTCTAAAAGGTGCCTATCGTCCCCGCTTAAGTTCCAAGAGGCATTGGACTGCTATTAGGGTGGATTTAGACAAAGATAAAATATATGCTTTTAATAGGCCCACCTAGACACCAAGTCAAACAAATAGAACGTTCATTTAGCATATAAAGTCTCAAGTTGGCCTCTAGGTTTTATTAAACATGCTAGCAAATACAAGTAATTAGTGAAGGTCTCATGCTAAGTGTGTGCGCATACAAACGAACATTAACAATATAATTATTTAGTAAAGGATGAGCAGAAAGTTGTTGCAAGTGCAAAAATCTTTTTTAGACTGATTTTTTTAAGGTGACAGAATATTATAACAGAATACATTATAGTATTCAACTGATTTTAAAAGGGGCAGAAATTACTGACATAACAGACTTATTTATTTGATTTTAAAATATAGCAGAAAAGTGATCATTCAAATGTAGAAATTTATTTTAGAAAACAGTAGCAGATTTATTTAATTATTAGCGTAGATCGATCAAGAATAAGGGCACATATTTTAAGACGGGCAGATTTAATTCAAGGGCAGATAAATTGATAGGCAAAATTTTACTAACATGCTGAAATTAACTAAATGCTATAGGCAGAATATCTATGTGAATGACATGCTGAAACTATTGCTAAAAATCTGATTAGTTAGACTAAATAATTAAATTACAGCATTTATTAAAGCCTAAATATTTAAACTAATTATCATAACAAGGTTATTAAAGTCAAATTAGATTGATCTATTGACATGCTGAAATTTTTAACTGAATGACTACCATATTAAACTTATCTCTTAAAACCTATAGGCACGATATTCTAAGTGGATAAACTAAAATTACGCCTATATGCATCATTTCTACACCTAAAATTAATTAATCCCTATAGGCATGGTATTTAAAGCAGATATCTAAGATAGAGCACAGTAGTAACTAAGCACTTGTTTAAATTTCTTTTCCATATACTTTAGAGAAAGGAGAGTAGGTGATTAATTACAAAACACGGTAGTAAACATATACAACATTTTATTTGTTATAATTAAAAGGTGATCACCGGGCGAATAAACAAATCACAATAGACAGTTGACCTGGTTAAGCACGTGATTAATTTTAAAAAATAGTTAAACAAGACTAAATATGTGACTAATGGCGATAGATTTATTTTACTTATTTATTTTTAGTTAGATCTAAATGAGGATTAGAATGCGAATTTTCAAACCATCACACAACCTAAGTGCATGATTTCTTACGCAAATAATTGGTGACAAAGTAACAAGTAGCACATAAATTTCCTCCCCCTAGACAGTCCCCCAAGTATTTATTATTATATAGAGAGTTATTATAAAATTTATTACAAACCCCAAAAAACTAGGTAAATAAAAATAGATACAAAATATTACAAACAAAATTAGATTTTGTTCCAGTAACTCTTCTGACTCTTCAAACTTGAACCCAAGTTCGAACCTGCTAAAGTAAGAGACAAACAAATATAACATATGAAGTAATATAATATAAGTAAAAGAATACCAATTATGGAATGATTCATCATACACAAATTTATTTTATACATCTAGCTGTAAGTAGACAAACAAGGCTTTGGACATGTAAGCATAACAACGATAATGTCACACAGAGAGGGAAGAACAAAAACTAACCCGGGTGCTTCCTTTTATTCATTCAAACACACAACAATATCCAAAATAATAATATAGGATGGAATTAAACTAATGAAGAACAGCTAACCAGTTAAAGCAGAAATATTTAACAGCAATGAAGACCAACACTTAGTCCAACAATCAACACGAACACAGCAAAAAGTAGCGAGTAGAGGAGCTTTAATGCGTTTACCGAAAAACTTAATTCTCTTTTTTAAGTAGAGAGCAATATTTTTTTTATTCAAGTAAGGTGTGAACAATGTGTGTTCAACCGTGAGTGTACAATGAAAAGGGAGTCTTCTTTATATAGTAGAAGAGTAGGGCACATAAAAGGAAAAAGAAATAAATTAAGGATCAATTAAAATTTTCCTTATTAAGAAGGAAGACAAATTAGATTTTTTTAAAATTATTTTTACCCAATATAAATAAGTAAGAAATCTATCAATTTTTAAATAAGGTACCAGGAATCAATTAACAGACAAATAATATGCAAAAATCAATTAAGGCAAGTAATATTTAAAGGAAAAAGAATGATTACCTCTTATAATCAAATTGTCAAAATCCCCGTATCCATGAGTTTACCATATAATCGGAGTAATTAGGGGAAGAACACTAAGATACACATGAAAGACAAATCAATCAAGACCATACATAATAATATACTAACAATTATGTACGGAATCAATATTAACTCAATTTACCGTAATCTACTAAGAACCAAATATCATACTAGAATTATCATATGAGAAGAACATCAAAACCCAACAAAAGTTTATATACAAAATTAATTCCATTGCAAGGATATTCGAATTTAATCAAGCAATAATTAATTAGAGATATAATGTGTACTAGTATGAACTAGGTTGCTTCATTCAAACATCACAATACTGTAATAAGTAAAATGAAACATTAATAAAATATTATTAGCAAGAGTATATGAATCACAACATGAACAAGTAAAGAAAATAAAAATAAAGGAATATACCGGAGACGGATCTGTTGAGATCCGTCTTCAATCGACCCCTCAAAACTTTACACTTTGTTGGAATTTTATTGCTGCTGGCCGAAGGAGAGAGAAGGCACAGGTAGGCAGATGTTGTCCATTTGGAGCTGCATCATTTTCCCGGCGCTGCTCGCTGCTGATCGGAGTTTGTCGATGGGAAATGCTGCATGCGCTGGCTGCTGCCTGGCAGCTATTGCTGCTGGAGTTGTTGTTTTCCCGTCTTCGCCAGAAAGAAAAAAAAGGCGGAGAGAGGCACTGGGCGCTGCTTCCAGCTGTTGGTGTCGCTGAGCTGATGCTTCGCGGCTGCTCGTTGTTGGTCTGCTCGGAGAAAGGAGGAGGAGAAGAAGAAGAGTGGGGCGAGAGAGAGGCAACCACTGTTTTACCGGTGGTTTGCCGGCGTTCACCTCACCGGTTCTCGCTGTTGGACGGAAAGGAGAAAGAGCGAAGGGAGGAGAGAAAAGGTGGAAGGAGAAACGACGGGCAGCCTCTTGGTAGTGCCGATTTCACCGGGAAAGAGGAGAGGAGATGGAGAAGGGAGGCGGCAAATTTGAGAGAGGAGAGGAAGAGAAATAAATATCCAAAATAGGGTTAGGTCCTTTAGTGTTAAAATAGGAAAATTAGGAGGTTATATCTTGACCGTCGGATTAGAGTAGATGGACGCTTAGGATTAAAAATTGGGATGAAAGGTTGAGATTACAATAAAAGAAATCGACGGTTAGGATTAAAGATAGGGTCTTAAATCAGATTTTAAATTGGTTGTATTTGGAGTTGGTTAAATTTGAAATAAAATTGGCTAGAATTGAAATGAATTAGAATAAAATAGGCTACAAATTAAACAATTTTGAGGAAATTTAAAGTAATGCTATCCAATTGAAATACTACAAAATAGTATAATTAAAATTACTTAAATTTTTAAAAACATTTGACTTATTTCGAGTTATACTAATAATTTTAAAATATTTTAATAGTACTTAAAATAATTTTTACAAAGTATGCATACTAAATATATAATTTTTTAGACAAAATCGATTAAAATTTTAAATTCAACATATTTTTTAAAAATACGTATTTAATCGAATAGCATTTTCAAAATTGTTAAAGGTCGGTCAAAATTGAGTGTCAACAGCTGCCCCTTGGTTGCTTGAGAATGAAGGTTGAATTGTAGGGTCAAAATTGGGTGTCAACAGCTTCCCCTTGGTTGCTTGAGAATGAAGGTTGAATTGTAGGGTCAAAATTGGGTGTCAACAGCTTCCCCTTGGTTGCTTGAGAATGAAGGTTGAATTGTAGGGTCAAAATTGGGTGTCAACAGCTTCCCCTTGGTTGCTTGAGAATGAAGGTTGAATTGTAGGGTCAAAATTGGGTGTCAACAGCTTCCCCTTGGTTGCTTGAGAATGAAGGATGAATTATCGGGCAACCAAAGTTGACTTAGTAGCTGATTTTGTCAGACCAACGAGAGATGTCAGTGGGATCAATTGAAATGACATAGAGTTGAAAAAGGGTACGATCGAAACTTTGGTATTAAGCTGCCTACATATCTCTGGTTATACGAGAATCAGGTCGTGTGTAGTT